TACCAATTTTTAAATACATAAAAGATTGTTACTAGGAAGAAAGAGAAAAATTGTTCTCCTTAAGCTCTGAGGATAGGACAAGAAACAGTGGTCTTAAATAACAGCAACGGTAGTTTAGGTTGGATGGTAGGAAAAATTTGCTTGCTATCCAAATGGTTAAGCACTGAAATAAATTGCCCTGTTACTGGAGATTTTTAAGAGGATGTTAGGCTATGCCTACACTATATGATCTGTTGGAAAAAGGTACACAAATTGCACTCCACGATTTGCATACCTTTTTCCAATAGTTTTTTAGGAAGAAGCTTTTTCAAAATTTGGCCCATCTACACTGAGCAACATTTCGGAAAATTTCCTCTTTCAGAAGAAACCTTCTTCTTCGTGAAAGGAGGAAGACAGGGCTTCTGAAAGAGCATGTCTGCTCTTCCACACAAAAAAAGTGGGCTGTGGTGTATGAAGGACTCAGGGCAGGGAGGTTGATGGTGTATGATGGGCTCAGGACACAGATTTGCAGTGTGTGGATGGTGCAGGAGTGTTGTAGCAGAAGACTGAGGATATGGGGGTGCAAGAGTTTGGGGATGTGAGAGGCTCAGAACAGGGCGTTCCAGTGTATGATAGGCTCAAATTTGGGGTCGAGGGGGTGTACAGGAGTGTTATGATGCTGCGACTAGATGGGGGCTTGGCCCCAGTTGGAGCTTGTTGGCCAGGCTTCATTTTTAAATAAAATATTATGTCAAACACAAACAATTTCAGCATTGTCTTTATTTGAGGCGGCGGAGAACCTGTTTTGAGTCAGGGGTCACTAACCCATAGGATAGTCAGTCAGGGCCACACAAGTGAGATGCAAAAAAACAACTGCTCCAAACACCCCCTGCCCCCCAAAGCCTCACTAATGTGGCCCCAACTGTTCTCGTGGGGGCAGAGGACAGGGTCCTAGGGCAGGGTGCTGGTGAGTCCTGGGGCAGGGTGCTGGTGGGTGCTGGGGCAGGGTGCTGGTGGGGACAAGGGACAGGGGACATTGTGCTGGTGGCAGTAGCGGATGCAGTGCTGGGTCAGGTAGCAGGGTGCTGGGTCAAGGTGCTGGTGGGTGCTGGAGCAGGGGACAGTGTTCTGGTGGGGGTAGTGGATGCGGTGCTGGGTCAGGTAGCAGGGTGCTGAGTCAATGTGCTGGTGGGTGCTGGGGAAGAGACAGGGTGCCAGTGGGGGCAGAGGTAGGTGGCAGGGTGCTGGGGCAGAGGCAGGTGGCAGGGTGCTGGGGCAGAGAGCAGGAAAAAAAAGTCCTGGGTGCGTGCCTCCTCCTGGGACTCCTCCTGCCCCCCACAAGAAGGCAGCAGGAGAAGGAAGTGCCCAGCGTGCACCTCCTCCCAGGACTCCTACTCCCTTCCCCCCACACGGAGGAAGCCAGCAGGGAAAGGAAGTCCCCGGTGTGCCATATATCTGGCTTCAGGAAATGCGACGAGTGATTGGGGGAGGAGGGAGCAGCCTGTGCACTTCCTGAAACCCCAGAAGTGGTGAGCAGCTACAGGACTGTCCCCCCACCCTGAAGGAAGCTGGCGCTATCCCCATTGTCGCTGAAGGTAGCATCAGTGGGAAGCTTCTTCTTGGGTATGGGGAGAATGGGAGAGCTAGGGGAGGGCCAAACGCCTCTCAATTGACTTGTTGAGCCCTCCTGATCAACCAGTTGATCATGATCGACGGATTGGTGACGACGGCTGTAAGAGTATGTCTACACTGTGCGGCCACCCTGTATCTTAACAAGCTACCCTATGTGTTAACAAGCCTCCTGTTATTTCAAAATACTTTTCAAAATAACAGGCATGCTATTTTGGCATCCCTGTGTAAAGTTAAGAGATATCTTGAAATAGTGCATTATTTTGAAATTTGGCACTGTATAGATGCACCAAATTTCAAAATGAGCTATTTCAAAATAGAATCAAAATAAGATACACAATTTGCATAACGCAAATTGAGTATCTTATTTTGACTTTAGGGTGCTGTGTAGATGCACCCTAAGAGACATATTGGGAAAGTAGGGGGCATGACTACCATGCCCTGCATTTATAACAATCACTGGTTGGCCTAATAGTCTGTTGGCAGCAAGTATCATAGGCCAATGTAATATAGAGGAGCCTTTGGACTGCTCTCAGTTCTACTAACATGAGTATGGTGGAAAACCATGGCTGAAAACTAGAATTGGACATTTTTTTTTTGCCTAAAAGTGCAGTTTTGAAGGTGACAAAAATATTTACAATTTGAGAAGAATTCAGCAATTAATTTTGGCCAAATAAAAAAATTAGGAAAAAACATTGAAAAGTCAAAACTCTTTATTTTTTATATTTTGTAAATTACCTATTTTGATGTCTTATTTCTAAATGAACCATTTTGAATCACAATGTTGATTCATTCAAACCAAAGTCTTTTTTTTTTTTTAATTTTCACTTTGGTAACAAAAACTAAAAAAAAAAAAATCAGTTTCCATTCTAAATAAACTGATATTTCCTGAGTTAATTATTCACTTAGGTCTAGCCCCATCTGCTCACTTGCAGAAGCCTGCCTCCTTTCTCTTATGTTTCTGCTTCCAATGCTCATTGGAGTTATTTGAGTCAGATTTTACTCTGTGTGCTTCCTGTTTCTCACAGTTGAATGCATCTATAGCAATCTGAGCTTGCTTCTTGATATGTATCCAATTGAACTTACTTTCCTTTTTGATTTTTTTAGCAGAATCCACTCTCATAAATTCAGGTCTGAGGATCTGAATGGCACATTTCTACTTATATGCCTTACAGTTGAAAATTGAACTGTTGCTGTAGCATGCTACAATGTATTAATCATTACAATTCACATTGCAGTGTACTGTTTTCCTCTAATAACCTCCTTTGTTCTGTGGATATATGGAAAGTCTTCACAGCATAGTATGTTGATTTTTTTTATTCACTCCAGCATTGTAAATCAGACATTTTCAAGATGTGACTTAGATTTTCCCATCCACCAACTCAAATTGTATTGTCTAGTAATTTTTTGCATAGTCATTAGTTTTAATATTTCATTTGTTTAATTCTTTTCTGAAGGAATGCATATCATAAAATAAGCTTAAATTCATGTCAAGTTTTTTAACAAATTAACTTTTTGTAAAATTTATTTGGGTAAAATTAAATGGAATTTGATCAAATTTGTGCACCTGACACAAATTTATCTCATGACCTCAAATCAGATACTCTCTTAAACAAAGACTGATTCTTTTTATGTTATAGCTGTCTCTTGAAGTAATAATATTTTTCTGGAAAAAGGGTTCTATAATTGGAATTAGAATTCTGAAAATGAAAGTCAAAGCATAATTCCCAAATTTTATATTTAAAAGTATCTTTTCCTAAATACATTGCTTCTTTTTGTAATTCAGTCTTCTAGTTTCTATATTAAGTGTTTGAGAAAAAGATATGAAATTGATTAATTTTGGGAAATATCACTTTAAAATAGATGTTTACCTTTATGACTTCATTTTGTATTATTCTGTATTTGGATATGTGTTCAGTTGATGCCTATGTTCTTTACAAAATTGATTTTTGTTTTGGTTTGGGGGGTTTATTGGTCATACTACTCTGCTTCACTAAAAGTGATTGCAAGCAGATTGCATTAGTGTGAGATTTTAAAGTATAAAAGTTTCACTGAAATGCCCATTATTTGAAGGTTTTTTTACTAATCATAGTGGTAAACCATGTATATTTTAAGACTAAAATACATATTTTAGTCATTACAAAAATTGATTGATTGATTGATTAGTTGGTTAGAACCATTTTTATGTCCTTTATTTCATTATCGAACAGTTTCTAGCTAAAATAATCATGTGACTAAGGTCCAATCTGAAAAGAGATTGGATTCATTCAGTTTTTAATTTTTCCTTATAATTCACTTGTTCCAACCCCTTACTTTCTTGGTATTGTTTTATATAATCGTTATAACTTTTCCCCACTTAATTTGAATAAAATATTTTAAGAATCATTCTTGTTATTGAATATTTACTCTTCAACAGACTGATATCTTTACTTTAAAAAAAGGCTTGTAAAATAATTCTCTCTCAATTGCATTTTATTTAAAAATGGGTTCTTAGCTAGACAAATTGCAAAATTGTGTGTACTTTCTGCAGAAAATAATGTGGGGTTTTGTTTTTTGTTTGCTTTTGTCAGAAAAGAGTACACTTTAAACCAAAATGTTCCATTTTCTGCCAAATCCAAACATTTTCAGCTGGAAACCAACACATTTGCCCCGTCGGAATTACAGTTTGTCTGCCTCATGTCCCTATTCTCCACTAGAGTCTGGCCTCTCAAGCCAGGCTTCATCTACCTTAGTAAATGGTTGCCATTGGTGTCTTATTGTATACTACCTCCTCTCAGCAAGAGATGAGACTGTGCAGTTTAGTGGTGTTTAAAGTAAAATTTGTGTAACTACCTGAATAAGTGGAATTACTGGAGATTACTGGAGCATATCTGAGAATATTGGTAAAATTTGGACTAATATTTAGAATTCACAAAATAAATAGAGAACTATATCCTATCAATTTAATACAGGTTGAACCTCTCTAGTCCAGCACCTTTGGGACCTGATCGGTGCCAAACCAGAGAATTTGATGCTTGTTAGGCTCTTACAAGGCATTTTGGAGTAAATTAGACTAAATAATAGCACAGAATACTGAGAGACAGGATGGATGGCTTTAAACAAATGTTATGGGATCACAAGAAACTTAGCCACACCCATGGTTAGTGGACATCTGGCTTACCAACTAAAATCATGCCAGGTCACGGATGTTGCCAGACAAGAGAGTGCCAGACTAGAGAAATTCAACCTGTAGTAATAATAGCTAGAATATACATTTCCCCAGTGGCTTCATAATCTTTGGTTTATCAATTTGTCATCAAGTTTGATATTAGACACAGTGTAAAGCCTGTACTGATGAATTATTTTGTAAATTTCCAGTACTCATTTTGCTTTTTTTTTTTTTTTAACAATAGCTGTGTGTCAACATGGTCAACGAGAAAATACACCAGTATATCAGTGAAGTGCTTTTTTTACAAGAGCAAGCAGAATGTGTACAGGAGGGAGTTACTATGGAAACAACATATTCTCCTGGTGACCATACAGAAGTCTTGGATTTTTTCTTTCAGGTAGTTTTCAAACCCATTTATACAGCATTTACATTTCTACACATACTATGTGTGTCAGGCTAACAAAAATTTGGATATCAGTTTCTGATTTAAGTGTCTAAAGAAAAGGTGAGAGGTACAAGGGACTCATAAAAGGAGGCCTCTATCATTGCTCTGTGCACCAGTACATAGGAAAGGGTTTGGGAGAGGTTGACTCACTATACTGATCCATTTGCCCCCACACGTAGGGGTTCTAAAGCAGACCCTAGATACTACTGCAAAATTCTGGCTCCTGTTGAGACCATGGAGATATCATCTGTCCTTGGAAATGACTTTTGAAGCATGAAATAGCATAATCCCTTGTAATTTTCTTAGGAGATTAGTGACCATCACAATTTTTGAGTAAATCAAATATGAATCTTCGTACTTTTTTGTAGATGACCATCTGATGTGTTTGGCAGATTTTCACTAAACACAATTCTGCTTAATAAAAAAGACATTTTAGTGTAAATGGAAGAATTGTATTTTGCCTATGAGTAAAAGCAGAGAAATTTAAGCACCTCCATTTTTCCTTTTAGAAGCCATCAGGTTTTTTGGCAATGCTGGATGAAGAAAGCCAATCCATTTGGTCTGTTGAACAGAATCTTTCTAAACGCCTTCAGTCTTACGTGGAAACCTCAGACACAAGTGCTGTATATTTTTCCGCAAAAGATGGAAATGGTAATGTTGCACCAAAGGATCAGAGTCCCAACTTCACTATTATGCATTACGCTGGAAGGGTAAGTGAGGAGAGAAAAGTAAGTAATTAATAATATATGGCTAAGGAAAAGGGCAATAAGATCTAAAGGGATTCCTCAAAGTTTCTGAACTAATAACTTCTGATAGCTAACAGAAAGAGCTGAGTCCATGATAAACTATTCACTTTATTGGACAATACATTGTTAGAAAGAATCTAACATCTCAAAATTCAAAGGCTCATAAATAAATTATTTAGTTTATACTCCTTCCTCACTGGCCAGGGGTAGACATCACCATGTCACACAAGGGACACTTAATAATATTACTGCGCTTAGTGATGGACTTCGGGAGGAGGCGATTATGTCATTCAGTCATTTAATCCATAAAATAGCACACACAATTTTCCACAATGAAAAAAACAGTAACCTAGCTACTACTACTAAATTCAGCTCATATAGTTAATGAAAAATGCATGTATACATACTGTATATGATATGACATTAGAAATGAAAATGAGGTTGATTTGGGATTTTACATGGTACTTATATCATTTAAACATATTTGGTACCCTGAGCAATGATAACATTTATAAACCCTGAGCAAAACCCCATTTGGTCTTTTTCACTCATCCCATTACAAAGGCGCAGATGTTATTGCTGTCTACCCAACGTTGTAGAAAGTCCTATGAGCGAAACATGGAAAGATGGGGTCAGTTTACACCGAGGGCTGAAGGAGGACTCCCAAAGTGCATTCATTAACACTTGAAATACATGAAAGTAAATACATTAGAGAGATAAGAAGGTGTAAGACAGACAACTTAATGAGAAGCTCCAGAAAATAAGACCCAGAGGGAGTAATGGTAGAGGGAATCATAGAGAGGCCAAAGGGGCTGGTAGAGGGAGTGGACAGAGAACTACGGTAGAGGGAGAGTTGTTGCAGGGTTGACCCAGTCTTCTGCATCTCCCCGTGTGTCAAAACACTGATTGCTACCGCTATAGGAGGGAACAATAGAACACAATTTCCTGAAGAATGAATGACTTGAGGACAGTTTCCTGAAGAGATCCAGAATTCCTGGCCAATGGACTGGAAGTTGGGTCAGTGCTGGGGTGGAGAGGGAGAACAGAGGCAGCATGTGGAGCTGCTCTGCCTCTGCAGAGACTCTCCACAGCATGCAGAGATGCTGGGGATGGGGAGAATAGCTTGTGGAGATCCAGGGATCTCTCTGAGATGAGAGAGCCTGTGATAAAAATTATGAAGTCTGTGGCCTATGGATCTCATAATTTTTGCCACAGGCACCTGTGTCTTTGTATGGACACTTTTCAGATCCATGATGATTGGTAGGAGCACTATGAGAATTTCTTGGCCCAAGAGAAGTTCTGAAAATCCTCACCAAGTTGCACCAAGCTAAAAAAGGGAGGGGTTTCTGGTGAAAAATTCACCAAAATATTGTGCTTTTTTAAAATTTCAAAACTTTTTTACCAGCTCTCCAGATGCTCAAAAAAAGGGCAAATATTTGGCAATTTTTGTGAAAAATTCATCACGTTTTCCCTAACAAAAAATTATAATTTGGAAAGTTATGACTGGCAGTGAAATCCTGTACACTTTCTCCCCTTTTTTACATTAATTCTCTTTACCCATTCTCTTCTTTTATTTTTGTCTGCATGCTGTTCCTTTGGCCCTCTCGCCAAACAACCAAAATCAGATGCTTTTTTTAAAAAAAGTGCAGGTACCATTCTTAGTGTAGGAAAATGACTTTTCTCTTTTCACTGATATGGGAAATACATTTTATACACCTTTATTATTTCTTTTGGTGCTTAATATGGCACAGTACAAGATGCTGACAGATATGTCCAATAGGATATTGGCCCAAAGGAAATTTCAAAAATCCTTCTTCAGGCTCATTCTGGTTTACTCTTGAGGGTCTGAGGATTTTCAGTTTAGAAAAGAGGAGACTAAGGGGGGATATGATAGAGGTCTATAAAATCATGAGTGATGTGGAGAGGGCCGGTAAAGAAAAGTTATTTATTAGTTCCCTAAATAGAAGAACTAGACGACACCAAATGAAATTAATGGATAGCAGGTTTAAAACAAATAAAAGAAAGTTCTTCTTCACACAGTGTGTAGTCAACCTGTGGAACTCCTTGCCAGAGGAGGCTGAGAAGGCTAGGACTATAACAGAGTTTAAAGAGAAGCTAGATAACTTCATGGAGGTTAGGACCATAAAAGGCTGTTAGCCAGGGGATAAAATGGTGTCCTTGGCCTCTGTTTGTCAGAGGCTGGAGAGAGATGGCAGGAGACAAATCACTTGATCATTGTCTTCGGTCCACCCTCTCCGGGGCACCTGGTGCTGGCCACTGTCGGCAGACAGGATACTGGGCTAGAAGGACCTTTGGTCTGACCCAGTACGGCCGTTCTTATGTTCTTATGTTATGTTCTTATGTGCTCTGAATGTAGTGTATAGAATCAGTGGTTTAAACCCTATAGTCATTATCTAGTCAAAACTCCAAATAAAGTCATCATGTAAGGATACAGAATAAGAATTGCAGGATTTGGTTCTTATGTCTAATTAGATTGGCCTTTTCTCTCTCTCCGATATAAGTCAAAGATCAACATTTAAGCTACATGAGTGTATAGTATGTGTGCATGTGCGTGCAGGGGTGTGTGTGTGGGGGGAGGGTGTTAAATAAGGCAATTGGTCTAGGTTCTTTCCTTTTCAGGCAGGGAGAAGACAGGAGAGATAAGCATGGGAAACAGGCAAGTTGATCAATGATGGAGACTGATCACAATCTCAATTTCACTATAATTGGTACAGTCTGGTTAACTGGGATATCTAATTACGGTACTTAATTACAAATGATGTTGAGCAGACAATTGTTACAAAGTACACGTTATACTGCGTGCATACACGCACATGCCAAGAGAAATGAAGCTTGTCAACAACAATGCATAGCACATAACTCTTTCAAACAAAGTTAATGGCTTCACTACTCTTCATCATACCCCACAAAGTTCAAGCAACATTCTTCTGCAGTGCTGCTCAGTGTAGTAAACATATTAGACTTAGATAGGTAGGTAGATTGTGTGCCAGGATGTTCTATTGCAATGATAAATTTGTATCAGAATAGGGCTAGAATGCTGCTGCACCCCAGAACAATATGCAAGTTGGCATGAAAGAGCAGCAGTGAAGCAGTTAAGGAATGAAAATTAAACTCCTAACAAAAACAATAAGCACATTGAAAAAGCACACGGCGGGCTGGGGGAGGGAGGAATGTGCTTGTGGTATCCTCTTACAAAACATTCAGTAGGGCCATTAATTAAGATCAAAGCCTCAGGTACCAAATTCCAAAACTTAGGACTTGAGTGGTAAATGGTATACCTTTCATTAATTTGTGTTTTGCCCTTAGAATTTCATTTTATAAAGAGACTTCTGGTTTAACCTTTCCTCAGCAATGTTAATTATGTTTTATTTAAATTATGAACAGTAAGCCAGCAGCTCTGTGGTGTAAATTCCCATAGTTCCATTAAAGTCAGTAGAGATACTCTAGTGTAAACCAGATTAAGAATTGTCTTGGTATGTACAAGGTTTGATAGGCTCTTGACAGGATCGTGACTTGAGGCTCTTGTTTTGCAAAGACAGAAAGATCCTTTTGAAAAACTTGCCTATTTGAATAGTGATTGAGCATCTTTCAAAAAGACATTTCCCTTTTTCATTTATCATGGGATCATTGTATCATCACAGGATGTCATTTCTAATAACAAGAATAGTTTGTTGAATAAATAAATATGTAAATGCAGATTTTCCCATATTAACATAGCTGAACAGGTTCATTTTAAAAATAGACAACTCTCTCTTTCGCCCCCTCCCGAAATAGCCCCCAAGGAATTTTTAAGGGATTTTACTTGTGCTGATGCTGTCCTTAAGCTTGCGCTATTACAGAATTTGAGGTACAAATTGCTAGCAAATCAGAACTTTATATTTATGAAGTTTTATTGGCAATACAAAATAAAAATGTCATACAAAAAGTATCAGTATAGCCATTGCTAAAATGTGCAATTAAATATAACTGAAGGAAATGAAAGGTAACACCTCATTGACTGTGGAGATCCTGACATTTAAAACAAAAGGGCCTGATTCTGTTTTCATGTATATCAATTATACTCTGATGAAACTCCCTTAACATCAATAAAGTTTCTCATTATTGACATTAGACTCCTAGGAAAATGTATGACTGGTACAAAGATGTTTGATAATTGGATATGGAGATTTCAATCTCTAAGATTGTCCATTTAAATTCAGTCAGTCTAATGTGTCTAGAATGATTGTATGTTTAATAAGGCACTTTCACACTGCAGGGAAAAAGTCGAATTAAGATACACAACTTCAGCTATGTCAAATGTGCAGTTGAAGTTGAAATAGCTTACTTCGGCTTTTGGCACCGTCTACACAACAGGAAGTTGAAGGAAGAATGCTCTTCCTTTGACTTCCCTTATGCCTTATGAAATGAGGGTTACAGGAGTCAGAGTAAGAAGTCCTCCAGCTTTATATTATTTCAAAATAATGGCTTGCTGTGTAGACGCACATTTTGTTCTTCCAAAATAATGCCCTTACAGTGGATGCAAATTTTCTGTTAAACAGTAGAGGGCAGATATCCTGATTTCCTCAGGTAGCTAAAAATTAATTTTCCCACGTATTTCTTAATAAGTTTAAAATGGCTTTTCCATTTTTTATCACATGGCAGCCCCATTGCTAGTAAACCCTTATTCCACTCAACTGACAGTGTTTTATATGACAGGACTACATACAAGCTATGTAGAATACAGAAGTTACTGTTGTCGATTTTTAAGTGCAACCCTTCTGCCAGTAGCAATGGACAGCAGTTAGATGTGGGTTCAATATCTTGGGGGTGTTATATTGAAGGATATAACTATGTTGCACATCTTGACCCTGCAACCAGGCAGATGGAAACATTTCACTCTACTCACTGGACACCTCTGAAAGGCTATTCTTCCTCTCTCAGAAGCACTGAGCCTGAGGTAGAAA